AGAAAATGGGGTGCCAGAAAAAAGGAAAGAGGTGATGGGGTGATGTAAAAGGTGTGATTTTTAGGGTTACTTTATTGATTTTCTTTTGTTTTTATGGTTATTTTTTGGTTTTTTTGTGAGTCACGGGGTTCAATTGGGACAAAAGTGGTAAAGAATAAAAGTGTGGGAGGGGTTTCAATCTTTCAGATTTTTGATGATGAAATGGTGGATTTTTTATAATGTACGGTCTTTTCCAAATGTGAAATGCCTCATCAGTATCACTGTATCATCAGCTCTCTTTTGTGCATTGGCACCTTTACCTATGTCTATATGGTAACTAGTAGGGCCACAATAGCTAATCAAAATTAATCAATTTGTGACAAGAGTAACATATTTTTTTTTTAATAAATACACATATCTTAACAAAAAAATGTTACATTTTAAGAAATAATATAAATATATATATTTTGTTAAAGAGTATGATGAGTTGGTTCATATAATTTTTGAAGATTAATACTACCTCCATTTTTTTTAAATGTCATTTTGGCTTTATAAACAATTAAATAAATAAATAACGTTTTGGATTTTTTGTACATATTTTTTCATTATTACCTTTATTTAGCTAATAAATATATTATATCTTTTCATACACTCTTCATTTTACTCAAAACATGTATCTCTATCCTAATTAATGAGGGTTATTATTGATAAAAAAAAAGATTCTTAATTACTGTGTAACTTCTCAAAATGATACTTATTAAAAAATGGAGGGAGTACTATTTAGTAGAATGAAACGTTTTATGTAATAGTATTGAAAATGTTCCCCTACACATGGTGGCAACTTATGTGGCATGTACACATTGGGCATATTAATTCTCTCCCACTGCTTATGCCCAATGTGTACGTGCCACATAAACAGTAGACATATTAATTCTCTGTCCACCGTGAGTAGGGGAGCATATCCCTAGTACTATATTGTGTTTCAAAACTAACTTTCTATTAATATTTTTATTTAAGTTTTAAAAAAAATGAAAACTAAATAATGCATTTATTGAAATAACAAATAATATATCAATGATATAAAAGAAAAAAAGGGAGCAATTATGTCTTTTCAGGATTGAGATGTAAATACCAAAACTCCAGCAAATTAGTTAGTCAGTCATTTCATAAATGACAAACATATTATGATGATTTGAGCGTCTCAAATCTCTTACATCATGTCATCGTTTTGTTTTTATTTATTTATTTATTTTTCCATGTATTTTTTACATGAAAAAATTTGCACATGAGTACATGACGTTAATGTCTTACCCGATCATTCACTTAATTACTTTATTAAAAATTACTCATTTTCCCGATCATTCACTTAATTACTTTATTAAAAATTACTCATTTTATTCTATAAATTCAATCGAGACAGTTTTATTTATATTTAATGGCTTTAAAAAAGGCTGGTTCTTTGAGGTGCATCTATTGGCACATTTACGAATTGCGAGTGGCATAATTGTAATTGCAGGACCAGATAGATTCTGAATGTCACGAGCCTAAACATAAATCATCATGATTAGCAAGAAAATGAAGTATATGAAAGTGAAAGGCCTCGAATAACGAGAGAAAATTTAATTGGGTCAGAATTGGGCCATCGTTAACTGGCCTTTCTGTGTTTTCTTATTCGTACGCCCAAATTATTACTCACCCTCTTAATTGTATTTACTATTATATCCTCCAAGTATTTTGACCATAAACATTGACCTCATCATTATTGTGTTTTATCATTAAAAGAAAAATAATTGGTTATATTTTTTAAATAAAGTTTGTTGCTAGGTTGGAGTACAATTAAATGGTTATATTTTCTAACCAGATATGTAATTTTAAATATATAAATATTATATTTTAAAAATAATATACATAAAAATATTGATATTTGATATTGATATATTATATTTTAAATATATAAATATTATATTTATATTTTTTAAATAAAGTTTGTTGCTAGGTTGGAGTACAATATTGATATTATTTTTTTAATAATAGATAGTGCAAACTGATAAAATATATTCTGATCATGTACATATGGTCCATATGCACCGAGAGAAAAGATCTCATGCACCCCATGTAAAGACAAAAACCAGCTCACAAGGGAATATGCCATATTGATACCATTTTTGAATTTTTTTCTTGTACTTTTTCACCTCTAGGTAGTTTTGCTTTAGGGCTCATTTTATCTTGTATATATAGAGAAGCAGAGCTGCGTTTTCAGCAACTTCATATATCCAATCATTGTAAACATCATTATCAATGAATATGAAAATCATGTTTTCAGTTTCTTTTCATTTCTGTTTCCACAAATCCCAACTTGGTATCAGAGCCCCAGGTTGAAATCTGGGGCTTGAATCAGTTCTTTTTTGTTTACTCTTTTCTATCCTCTGTCATTATCTTCTTCTGTCCACAAAATGAATCCACATTCGGCAAATACCATCAATATCATTCAGCCTCAGAGTCAACTCATCACTGTGAAACTAACTGAGGGAAATTACCTGATATGGAAGCAACAAGCTCTTGCAATCCTTGGACATGGTTTAAAGAGTTTCATTGATGGCTCGGGAAGAAGACCAGAGCAATACGTCCAAGGAGAAGAAGGACAAATCATCATCAATCCATCATTTGTAAGCTGGAAAAGACAAGATTAGCTATTGTTTTCCTGGATTCTTTCTTCTCTTAGTGAATCTGTCCTCATCACCACAGTTGGTTTGAACTCTTTAAGAGAAGTTTAGGAAGCTCTAGAGAGCAACTTTGCTACTCAGTCAAGAGCCAAGAGAATGCAGTACAGACTGCAACTCCAAACACTTAAAAAGGAGGACATGTCAATGAGAGATTTCCTCAACAAGATCAAAACTTGTTGTGACATGTTGTCAACTGCTGGGCAAAAGATCAATGATGATGAGCATATATTATATATCCTCACTGGCTTGGGAAGTGACTACAATTCAGTCATGGTCACTGTGAACTCCAGAATAGAACCATATATACTCATAGAAGTTCATGCTTTACTTCTGAGCTTTGAGAGTAGGCTTGAAGGAATAGATTCAGCCATTGTCACTGGAATTGAAGGATTCATGCCAAGTATCAACTTCACTTCTCAAGGTGGATTTAATCAAGGGAACAGAGGCAGAGGAGTGAATAACTTTCAACATGGCAGAGGAAATAGAGGAAGAGGTGCTCAAGGAAGAGGAAGAGTAAGATTTGGAAATAGAGTGGCTTGTGAAATCTGTCATAGGAACAACCATACTGCTGACAAGTGTTTCTATAGAGCAAACTTAAGCTACACTCCTAGTCCTAACTTCAATGCTCAAGAAAACCAAGTGAACATGGCTCAAATACACACAATGGTCCTACACCTTCAATTAACACTGCTGGGAGTGTGGCTGATTCTAACCAAGAGGTCCAAGACCATATGTAGTTCCCTGATTCAAGGGCCACAAACCATGTCACCTATGACTTTGGAAACATGAATCTTGCATCAGTATATAATGGAGAAAAAAAAGTCCAGATAGGAGATGGTTCAGGTTTGAGTATTTCTCATATTGGTTCTTCTATAATTAGATAACATGCCAACGATAATCATGCATTTCTCCTTGATAAATTATTTCATGTACCTCATATCACCAAAAATCTCATTAGTGTATCTCAGTTTGCTAAGGATAACCGTGTGTTTTTTGAATTTCATCCAAAATTTTGCTTTGTGACGGACCACAAACAAATGAGGTGTTGCTGAAAGGGAAACTTAAGAATGGGTTATATACCTTTGACTTGATCTGCAAGAATGAAGACCAAAGTGCCCCTCACTATCCTAGCTCTTCTTTTTTAGCTTTCTCCTGATGTGAATGTAATTCAGTCTCATGCCAAGAAAAACTTTAAATTATGGCATCATAGACTTGGACATAGCTCTTATGAAATTGTTAAGAGAGTTATCAGTGATTGTAATGTTCCATTTGTTGCTCATGAAATGAAGGATGTTTGTGCTTCTTGTCTTAAAAGTAAAAGCCATCAATTACCTTTTTCCAATTCTGATAATGATTCTTATAGTATCATTGATCTCATCTACAAAGACCTATGGGGTCCTTCACCAGTTAAATCCAAGCAAGGCCATTCCTACTATATTAGCTTCATTGACCACAAATCAAGATTTTGTTGGCTTTTTTGTCTTAAGAACAAATCTGAAACCTACCTTACCGCCCTTCACTTCATAAACATGATAGAAAATCAGTTTCACAGAAAACTAAAAATCTTGCAAAGTGATGGAGGAGCTGAATTTAAACCTCTGTCAACTTTTCTCAATGAAAAAGGAATCATTCACAAGTTATCTTGCCCATACAACCCTCAACAAAATGGGGTTGTTGAGAGGAAACATAGGCATATTGTTGAACTAGGTCTTGCTATGTTGTCCACTGCACACTTGCCTAAGTCTTTTTGGAACCATGCATTTGAAACCTCAGTTTTCCCTATAAACAGGTTACCTACCAAAACTTTAAAACTTCTCAGTCCTTTTGAAGCCTTATATGGCCGTAAACCCTCCTATCAGCACCTCAAAGTTTTTGGATGTTTGTGTTTCCCTCATCTGAGACCTCTCAACAAACACAAACTCCAAGATAGAGCTCAGAAAGCAACATTTATTTGATATAGCCTTAGACACAAAGGGTACAAGGCCCTCCTCAGTGATGGAAGTGTAGTGATCACTAGGAATATCATTTTTTATGAAAATTCTTTTCCCTTTCAATCCTTGAACCCCAGTCAAACTTCATAACACAATACTTATACATATCACCACAATATCCCAAGTCACATACCTGTTACAACATCTTTTGAACATAACTCCCAAAATACTTATGGTACAGATATCACATCTCTCCCCACACAACATATTTCACCA